TTGTCATATATATATATATATATATATATATATACATATATATATATATACATATATATATATATTTATATACATATATGTGTATATGTATATACATGTAAGTAACTATATCCATATATACATGATAATAATAATGATTGTTACCTAAACTTACTTGAATTCTATAAATTGGAATCTTCACAGGGACTTGGATTCACATAGGATGCATGTGCAAATCTAGAGCGAAGGATAGTTATCGGGATGTTTTTTTCTTGTTTTTATCTTCTTCCTTCGTTTACTTACATTTTTTTTCTTGCGTTTACCTATTTGTATACTTTACTATGTATTTTAATGCAACTAAAGGGCGCTGCACGTCGTTTACAGGACATTTTAGAAGTGTTAAGATATTTAATATAAAAGGGAAATGGGCGCAAAAGGTGAGTGAGTGACTGCAGTACTTCGATCGTCTCAGTATTAAGTAAAAAAAATGAGGATAACCGAGTATAAAGGAAAATGATGTGTTGCCTCTTTTGATTATCCTATTCTCTGTCTATATTTTCGATCTATCACTTAGATGAGGCTAGCTAATTAGAAAACCTTCCCCTTTTGGGTGAGCTTTCTCTGCTCTCGTATATACCCGAATATCTAGTTAATGCGTGCAATCGTTTCAGCACGCCCACACATATGTGTAAATGCCCTTTTATTTATGTTTTGGACCTCCGAAAGGGTTTCGCTCGAGCCTCTTTCGAAGCCTCATGAAATGCTAACAGGTGCGACCACACCTCTCAAGGAGGTCTTGGGCTGGGATTCGCTCCCCGTGGCCAAAGGGAGGAGGAGGGGCCCACCACGCAGGTGAGAAAAGATCGAAGGGGCCTCGGCCGGGGGCCCGAAATGACCCCCCTATCCGACGGCGAGAAAGGGTATAATGGTCCAACCCACAACCTACGGAAGGCATGGAATCCAGGAGATCCGATGGGTTAGGAGAAGTTGGAGAGGTTGGCACTAAAAGTAGTGGCCCCGATGAGGGGTCGTGAAGGCGTTTCTTTTTCCATCAGACTCTCTATGAAACTGGAATACTTCAACGCGCTCTCAACGTTTCTAGCCGTATGGGTGTTGCTAGGTTCTTGGATGTTGAGTGGTGTTTATGACTAGCAACAGGGACTCCCTTCGGATTTCTTCTTTCCAATTATGGGAGGAGGGGGAGAGGGGGGGGGGGAGGGTGACAACAGCCTTCCGTTGTGAACTGGACATGCGCGCAGTACTCTAGATATCCGGAGATAGATATTTCTGAAGCTGTGTACTGCCAAGCATACATGGCATATCGAAAAACAACTCAATCATCGCGGCTTTATACAGTCCAAAGTGGATTTGTTATAATTCTTATTACTGTTCTGGTTGATGTTTGTTTGCTTTTTTTTTTTTTACAAGCTTACATAGCTGTTTCGTTTTTGAACTTTCTTTTACTGAGGAAAAGAGTTTTGAGTGCCAGGAAGGCAAATAAAAAGGTAGTGAAAATAGTGAGCTTATAGGTTTATTGAAAAGGAACTATAGCCGAAACTGATACACGCCTAACTATACATAGAAGTAACACTGTATCACTTTATTTGTATTTTGACGCTAGATATATTTTTTCTTTAGCTGTGTGCACCGATTATAGGCGAAAGTACGAAGACAGAACGGTTCGTTCCAGAGAAGCAAATTCAACACCAGTTTTTATTTGGTTCTGTTCACGCTATCTTCGTACAGTACATCTCATGAGACGTAAAGGAGGACGTGTTGTGAGTTTCGCTAAGGAGACCATTTTTCTAGATGAGGAACCAGCTAACTTCTTTACCCGTGAGGAAGTCGTGTTGGGTATTGAGACGTCTCCTCCCGCACCATCTTCTTCCTCTTCATTGTCGTCCTCATCCTCGCCATCGCGGTGGCACCCTTCCAAACGAACCCTCGACAAAGGTGACGTTACCACCACGTCCGTAGCGGCGTCGTCGTTGGATATCTTTTCGAGATTCCAAAGCCACAACGGCGACTTTGAGGCGAAGTGGCTGCTGCTCGAGGACGATCTCCCGGTGGATGCGGGCAAGCCGCCGATCAGCGAGGAGCTCTTGGATAAGTTAAAACTCAGCCAGCGCCGGATTGGTACCACCCGCAATGCGAGGGCGGATGGGTTGAATGAGAAGCTAACCCCCGCAACAATGGGAGGTCAAGAAACGAATATCAGCGATGGGAAGCCCCTCGCGGAGCCGCGCAGGGGGTCCCAACCACCCCTCTCCGATGGCGACCGCAGCGCTATCGAACCCCAAACCAACGCGAAGGGGCGTAGCGAGGAGCGCGAACGCGGCGCCGCGGCGGCGGCCCTGGAGGAGGGTGGGATACGGGGCGATTACCTCCTCTTTTCCACCGCCTCCTCGCGGCAGGGGGCGGGAACGGCGGCCGGGCTCTCCGTGAATCAGCTCCAGGCGTCGGTCGCGATTTCCCCAAAGAGCGAAGTGAACGACCGCGCGGCCTCGCGGGGATTTCTGGATCGCATCCAAGGGGCTTCCCTCCCGTCGCCATCGACGTCGGATGCGCCCTCGCTTTCCCGGATGGTCCCCCTTTGGAGCGTCGCGCGGATGGAAAAAGAAGGGGGGTACTGCGCCGACAGCCCCCTCGTCGCGCTCCATCAGGAAATAACCGATTTGGTGGATTATTTACGCCCGACGCAGGCCGAGGTTTCGATCCGTCGGATGATCGAGATGGAGATTTCCCGCATCGCGCGGCGGCTCTGGCCGGACTGTGAGCCGATCGTCTACGGCAGCCTCTACACGCAGCTGATGCTGCCGCTCTCGGATGTGGATATCACCATCACGAACGTGCCGATCGCGCCGGAGGAGGCGCTGACGGTGCTCGCGCGGGAGATCAGCCAGGCCGGCCTCTGCGATGCCGCCTACCCGCAGCTCATTTTAAAAACCAAAGTCCCGTTGGTGAAGTTTCAACACAAGGGATCCCTCGTGGATGTCGATATCAGCATCAACGCCGGGGATGGGAAGAAGAACTCCGATATCGTGCACGCCCTTCTCGCGAACTTCCCCGAGGCGCAGCCGTTGATTGTCGTGATTAAATACTTTTTACAACAACGGGATATGGCGGAGCCGTATCGTGGCGGCCTCGGCTCCTACGCCACGACGCTTCTCGTGATTTCGTTTTTGCAATCCCACCCGATTCACACGACGCGGCCGGAGGAGCGCGCGGTGAGCGGCCTCGGCCGGCTTCTTGTGGATTTCTTCCGTTTCTACGGGATGTACTGGAATTACCACCAGTGCGGGGTTTCCGTCGAAAAGGGTCGGATGTTCTTCCCCCGCGAGGACGACTTGGTGGGGTTCTCGCCAACCTCACCCTCCTCGCCACGGAGCCCCTCCGGCCCCGCGCAGGCCTGGATCGAGGATCCCGGCAACCCCGCGAACAACGCCGCGAGTTCGTTGCGCAATTTTCACGTCATTTCCTCCCTTTTCTCGCACGCGTACTTCGCCTTGACGGCGGAGTTGCCGCCGCCGTCGTCGGAGGAGCTTTCGGAGCAATCCCCCGCCGCGGCGAGCCTCTCGCGGCGGCCGACCGTTCTCTCCCGGATTCTTCACGTGGATGCGAATATGGTGTGGAAACGGCTGCTGATTGCGGAGGCCTACGACACGCTTTGTGCGGAGCGCGCCGCATTTATGGCGGAGGTTCGTGAATACCGTCGGATGGAGGATGGGAAGATGTTGGCAGGGGTCGGGGGGGTCCTCACCCCGCAAAAGACCGCCACGAGTGGGGAATATCGCACCCTGGCGAGTTTGGTGGCCTCTGCGCGAGGGCGGGCGGCGGGGGAGGGCCCCTCGACGGCGAAAGAATCATTCGATTCGGGCGTGAAACCGGCGGGAAAGCGACGTCGGGAGGGCGTAAACGATGCGGACGATCACGGCGAGGACGGCAGAGGGAGTGGGAGTAGCGCGAGCTCCACACGACGTGAGGGGGATCGCGGGATGAAACGGCGGAGTCGCTCACGGGTGGAAGGCACCACGACGGGAAGGTGGTCGTAAAAGATCAAAACGAGAAGGTTTGGTAAGGGAAGGGGCTATGGATAAACGATTAAATCTACAAATAACCCTTAACAAGGAGTACCTATCTATCTATCTATATATCCATATCCATATATAGAGCGATTGATAGATCCAACACATCGCGGTCAACTATCACAAGGTTCATGGCAAGTTTAATACTTCAAACGGCGTGTAATCCTAAAAAAAGAATCTATAGTAGAATTTTAAACTTTAAGCGTCAGATGGGATGCCATTTGTATGGTGCGGATGTGCATGTCGAGCAAAGGGGGTATCGTCAAGGTGAAAACAACGCAAGCACGGATGCTTTTACTCATATTTTTACTCCACAATTTTTCTTCTTTTGTATAGGTGCCTATATTCCATTCATTAACTCTCTGGGGTTTCTCTTTTTTTCTTTTTTGGTTGCTCCTTAACCAAAGACCTCTGTTACCAGCTAAGCGTCGAAGAAGAGACGAAAAAGGTATTACGCCCCTCCTCTCCCCTACTTCCTTGAATGCAGTCTGGAAGTATTTCTGCCGGCAGTAATGTGGCCGCGGCCCCTACGGAGTCTCCACCTGCCGAGATCGTCCTCACCGCCGATCAGCAGGATGAGATCAAGGATGCCTTCGACCTCTTTGATACCGACGGCAGCGGCACGATCGACGCGAAGGAGCTCAAAGTGGCGATGCGCGCGCTCGGCTTCGAACCGAGAAAGGAGGAGCTCCAGCAACTTCTTTCAGATTTCATCCCGCATAAAAAGACCGCGTCGGGGCGGCATGACGACGACGATCTCAACCTCGATGTGATCACCTACCCGCAATTTGTGCATATCATGTCGAAGAAGATGACGGAGCGGGATCCTCGCGAGGAGATGATCAAGGCGTTTCGCATGTTTGACGACGACGAGACCGGGAAGATCACGTTTAAGAACCTCAAGCGGGTGGCGATGGAGCTTGGGGAGAATATGACGGACGCGGAGCTGCAGGAGATGATTGACGAGGCCGACCGCAACGGCGACGGCGAGGTCGACGAGGATGAGTTCCTTCGGCTTATGAAGAAGACCTCCCTGTACTAAACCGCTAGGAGAAGAAAGGAGATGCAGGGAAAGGGGCTGTGAGGGATGCTTGTCGAAGCATACAGTATTTCTCTATGTATTTACGTGGTGGAGGGCTCATCTCCTACGAGTCCAGAAATCAACAAAAAGATCATCTACTCACTTGCTTTCGCACTTTGTATGTATGAATGCAATGTTAATAATACCAGCATCGTTCTTGTGAATATTACTTCGACCTCTATTTTCCTCCTTGTCGTATGACGTCGCTTGGGGTTTATTGAAGGGAACTCAAAGTGCAAGAACAATTATTTAGGATTAGTTTAAAAAATGAAAATTTTCAAGACTCAAGCGTCTCAAATCTTCGCCGTTGATTTTTCTTTTTTCTGCTTCTTTTAGCCCCTTGATAGCTCGTGAGAGGCTCATACGATCACACATTTTTCTGTCTTTTTCTTTCTTTTTCCCCCCGTGAGCATCGATTCCTCCTCCTTCCATGGCGTCCATACTAGACCCCACGATTCTGGATCTCAGGGGGAGAGGATCCCTCTGAGATCGGGAGACGAGCTTCCAAGAGCTGCCACAAGCGACCTTGAACGGCGAGCGGCGACCGATCGAACCCGCCATCCTGCGCGCCCTCTAAAACTCCTCGAGTATCTGCGGGGTTGGTTGCTTTCCAAGTTGAGCAGAGAGTCGGCGCGCCCCATGCGGCTGGAGCTCACCCTCGTGGGGGCGAGCTGCGGGGAGTCGTGGATAGATCTCCTCCTCGGGCATCGTTTTCGGTTTAGCAGCGATCCGTGCGAGATCCTCGGGGGTGGATTTTCTCCCCTATCTCGACGACGCCTTCGCGAAGGACATGTCTATGCGGGTGCGCTCGTCTGGCGCTGCTTGGTGATCCCCCGCCAGCTTCCACCAGGATAACGAGGACAACAGCGAGGATCAAAAGGAAGGCGAGGAGGGGTAAATGGCAGAGGGGGCTCTTAACCCCAGAGGCCGTCCTCCGCGGGCTGAAGTTGGGCGAGGTTCACCAGGCGGCGCTCGCGCGGGCGTACAGGGCGGCCTTTTCGCCCTTTGCGGTGGTGCTGCCTGCCCTCATTGCCTGCCTCTCGAGGCGCCTCCTCGTCCACGGCATCCAAGACGGCGATCCTGGAAAGGGGGGTGCGCCCGTTCGTCGCGAGCAAACCTGACGCCTGGCGACACGCCTGCGCGATGGCGGCGCTGAGCGAGAAGCAGAGGGAGGTCCTTGACAAAGTGCCGGCGTTCTGTGCAAGTAGGAGTGAGTATCACAGGTATATCTATCTATCTATCTATCTATATAGATAGATAGATAGATATAGATGCGAAATGGTTGTTTATTGGGATGATCGTGTTTGGTGTTTTTTTTTTGGTGCAGGTGGTAGAAAGGGTCGGTACACCTCTGCCATACTCTACACGTTTAGTGTTGATGATTCTATTGAATTTTTTTCATAAAGCACTATTAAAATATTTAATAGGGAATCTGGTATGAGAAGGGAATCACTATAGCTTTTTTGTGTTTTTCTTTTTTATTAATCGATAGAGTGACTTAATTTGAACTTATACGAGCTTCAGTCCTTACCGTCATTTGATCCTGCCATAGCTACAGATGGTGGGGTTAACGTTAGCGAAGGTAAATCAGTAGGCATTGCCACCGCTATACCTGAACCCTACACACCAACCCGGGCAAGGGTTGTCCACATCAACTGTGGACCCATCGCTTGCAGTTACCGAGCAGAGTGCCTCGGCCTCCTCTTGGCACTTGAAAAACTCGTCCCAGACATCATAAATAACGAGAGCCACATGTTTCCCGCCCACCATAAATCAATCTTCATCGTTACCGACAGCCTTTTGCTAGTGTTAGCGCTCAACACTGGACCTCTCACCCAGACCTCCTTCATCGAGGACACCTTATGGTACTATCTTCTTGAAATCGAAAATCAGGGCTCGAGAGTGCACATCCATTTTGTGTACTCACACTGCGGAATCGCTGCTAACAGGATCGCTGATAAATGGGTCAAACATTACTTCGATCTTTATGATTTCCTGTGAGAAATAGCCCCAATCTGGTACGTTGACATGTTAGCATGCATCAAGCGCAAACTGAGAGCGGAATGGCTTGCGTTGCTACGAACAGACACACACCGGGGTAAACTATGTGGTGCTCGGCCCGCCGACCTTAGCGGACTTGACCTTCTTACAGGCCGTCCCTTAAACCGCTTCCAACTTTCACAACTGGCCCAAATACGATGCGGCTAAACTGCCACCTTTGGCAGACTTTTACGGTCTATCTGAGGTTTCGAAAATCGATGTCGCTTCTGCAACTTGTCCAAATTTCAGCAAACCGTATTAAACTCAGGTCAAACGTTCCTTCACCTTGAACAGGATCCCGTTGATGACCAAGAACCTGAAGACGACTACGACCCTACTGGTGTGCTCCCCTCTAGGAAGAAACCCTGAATTTCACTCCCTGTTCCGATCGCGAACAATGAAGCTCGAGGTTCCTCCTTCTCACCACATCCCCCATCTCTTGACCAAACTCAAGACGACCCCCAGGAGGATCGTAACCCCACCGGTGAACCACCGAGAACGATTTCCCCGCCCCTCGTACGCTGCTTCCTCCGGAAGCAGCGCACTTCAGGGTTCCTTCTCCCCCGCGAGAGAATATCCTAGGACCCGTCCCAGGCTCCCTCGCGCCGCCGCTACCCAGGTAGATGCTACTCACGAAGATGAATGCTTAGAAGAACCGCCAAACAAAAGACCCAGGACTTCCGACACCCAACATGGAAGAATGTGTGTCACAGAAAGATTAGTGACCAATTGCACCGAGTTGGTGTGCCCTTCTTGTCACAGAGTGTTTAGCGGTTACTCCACCCTCGTGACTTATAGCAATTAAAGGCACCTGTCCATTCCCGTTCCGTCCCCGAAGTGTTCTTGTGAATACTGCAATGCCCCCTTCGAATAGCACAAAAGTAGAGCGTAGCATCACCGACACTGCCCGTTAAACCCCGCCTCGACCGCTCCTCGCCAACGTCAGATCATACGCCGCTCGCCCTTCCCTGCACCAGAACATCCCATCATCCCTTCCTACTAACATAGGTGCGAAGGAGACATTACATCACCTTCTTTTTGAATGTCAGGCATCGATTGTGCCCGAAAACCGTGCCAAGTTTGATAAGATGATAGCAGATTAATCGTGGAATTTCCTACATAGTGAAGCACTGCTTGAATTCCTGGAGAAGATATTTGGATCTGAAGCTGTAGATAGGTACTACAGATAAGAATGAGAAAAAAACTCATACGAGCGTCTAAACAACGGAAGGGCTAGGAGTTGGGAGGAGGGCTTATAGAAGAGCCACTGTTAACCACACCTTCCACGAGGCCATACCTCTCCCCCAATGTGCAGCTTTTCTTGCACTTGAGTTTTTTAAGTTCTTTATGTGAGTTTAGATACGCTGTAGTTCATGCCTTTGATGGTTGCATATTTTTATACATTATTGATCGCGAAGTGTTTTTAAAAATTAGTTGGTATCTCAACCCTACTACCAAGGCATCACAATTCGGCAATCCCCCAGCATTTCGTCGAATGAACCCTTTAGAGGGTTGCTGTTGAAGGTATTCACCAGGCTCTCGCAAAAGGGATCCTTCACATCGTCAACCGCAACCTCCATAATCAACCAAACCCGAATTGGATAGGGGGGCGAGAAAGAGAGAACACCTGAATGATTTCTCAGGGCTGGTGCTTGCTATGCCATTGCTTTCCGAGTTGGGTTTGACGACAGAAGTGATATGATATGATCTATAGCGTAAACGCAGGGTGACATCTTGATGAGTCCCGTTGCAGGATTCCACAATCAAAGCAAATCTCCTCTCAGTGGTTCCGGGGGAATGTATTAGGATGTGCTCTAGCCGTCCGAAGAGAGACGACGGGAAGGTCTTCCAGAGGAAGGGGGCTATTGCGCCGTTAGCACCTAGCTACGCTATTTTACACAGCCAAGATATGCTGAAGACGTCGAGAGAGCTCGTCCTTCAGAGCGAAGATACTCCCCCTCCCCCTATACACACACACACTGACACACAGAGGTTGGAGGGGCATCACCAAGAAAGGAAGAAATGTTCGATTTTGTGCATGGAAATATACCTTTCGGGTTGGGCTGCATAGGAGCACCGCAACGCATTTGTTTAGAATGCATCCCTCCCCTCTTCCTGGCCGTACTTTTCAGCGAGGTGTATCTTGTGATGAAGGGTTTTGCATTAGTTAGCGACGCCACTACCATCAGTGCTGAGGGTAGGGTGGGGTGGGATGCACGGTTGATTCATTTTTATCGCAAATATGTTCTGCTTTTATGAATTCATACCTCAACTAAGATATGAAAAAACAAATCACGTTACATTCCACGTAATGACAGCATACATTTACTTTTTTGGGGGTGGGTGGGGGAGGAGGGGGACCTTTTGGGGGGATTCTTTATTCTACTTCAAAAAGGTGAGCCAACGTTTCTATGGTCCATTCTCCCTATGTGTGACTTTTTTTGGAGTCGTCTAAATTCTTCTATTTGTTCCTTCCATTTATTTTCGTTTCACTAAAACAGATGCTTTGTCGGTCGAAGAGTTATTCATTTTAGACGTTTTTTTCTATCAATAGTACTTTTTTCTTTTCTTTCTTCCCTTAACGGGTGGATTTTGTGTAAAACTCATCCCAATTTTGCATATTTTGCGTTTTTACCATCAACGGTTTCCTTTGCACATACTGGTACATTTCATTTAGAATTCAACTAGTTGAGAGGAACGCTATAGTTCGAGTTCTTCTCCACATTTGTGGAAGGAAAACAAAAACCTACTCGTACATAGAGGTTATAAAGCGATCTTTTTTTTTTATATTATTAAACATATTTGCATATCTGAAGTCTATAACCTATTTTCGCTGCTAATCGCCCGTGTTGAAGAACGCACCGCTTTCTCAGACTAACCGCCCGCCCTCTGGTTCGTTCGAGGCCATCATCCTCATCCACTCCCCAACCCCCTGTGTGGTCGATCCAAGGGCGAACCGACGACCCCTGCGGTCCTTCCCGTATCCCCTGCTTGCCTCTCGCGTATGCAGCCGAGCCTTCCCCCGGCGCGTCCGTCATGCTTCGTGAACGAATCCGACTTCCTCGGCGACGCGCCCGCCGCCGCCCCGGGCGAGTCGCCCGGGAGCAGCGTGTTTGACTTCACGAACCCCCC